GATCTGCTTATGGTCACAGTGACATGCAGACAGGAAAACCCTCCCTCCTACATTAAACATGAAATCCATGGGTAAGGGAGAGAAAGGATGCATAAGAATTCTAACCCCCTTTGTAGGCAGGCTACTTACACCATCAATTTTATTTACTCAGGAGTCATTTCGTAGAAAAAGAGCTAGGGGAACTCATTAGCATAACTCATTAGCATATGCCACACCCCCTGACATCAGGGGCCCGGCGGTGGACCTGCAAGGCCAGCGGGAGTGCGAGGAAGCCCCGCCAAGGCCCTCCCTGGCCCCAGGCAGGCAGGGGTGGGGAGAGGCGGGGAGGAAGCAACTTACCCTCCCTCTTCTCCTGCCTCCTCCTGGCTGAATGAGGGCCGGAAGCGGGGCGGCTGGAAGCAGGGGGCGGGGCTTCGTCGTGTGCCCCCCGCCCCTCACCCGGGGGAACTGTGTTCCCCCGCGATCCCCCCCGAAATGACCTCTGTATTTACTGAGGAAACAAGGCTGTTGATCCAGTGTCATGTAATAAGGGAATTGCTATCCTGTTTTGAGCTAATTTAGAGTCCAGTGGCACCTTGAAAACCAACAAAGGTTTATTCAAGATCTGAGCATTCGTATTCATGTACAGTTTTTCAAATATTCAAGTGTGCATGCACACGAAAGCTCATACCTTGAACAAACCTTTGTTGTTCTTAAAGGTGCCACTGGACTCTAAATTTGTTCTACTGCTTCAGACCAGCACAGCTGACTACCTGGATCTGTTTTGTGAGCGATTTTAGACAAAGAAGGAATGTATATTTATAAGCATTCTTTTAACATTATTTTTAAAAACTTATTTATAAGTTTAAAATTCACATACATACTGGGGGGGGGGAATTAAAAGTCACAGCATCTCAAAATTGTTTCATAAGATGGCAGTAACAATACAAAAATTAGTAACACTATGCACGGGGTGGGTGGGTGAGAGCAAATGAGAACACTTCCTCTTCTCCTATTTTGGAAATAATATCACAAATCTATTGTCTGGCAGAATTCATTGCTGCCCGCCTCCCCAGTTTCTCATTTTCCTATAGAATGAGGCATGTATTTCTTAAGAACCACAAACCTAGATACAGAGCATTGATAGATACATTAGGCCGGGCTGTTGCTATATACTTCTGTATCTTTATATTCTCTGGGCCATTTTACTTTACTTTACTTTACAAAACTTGCCTTTGTTCACTCAACCCTCCTTAGGTTCCAATTCTTTACATGTTTCCTCAGATGAACTATGGTAGATCTGATGAATCTTGTTGAGTTCTTCCTCACGTCTTGCAGAAGACCTCTCTAACACCTCCTTGAGTTTTTTGTTCCATTCTTTCCTCCCAGCCTCTGATTTGCTCTCACACTCCACTATACATTCTTGATGTATAGTAACAGGTTTTAAAAGAAGTGTGTGTGTGAGCGAGACAGAGAGAAAATTTCACTCACTTTAATATTTCTTCTTCTGGATTGTGATTTGATGGGGAAAATAATACTTTAAATTACTGAATTTTATCCCATGCTTTGTCAGCACTTCTTAAAATAGCCCCCAAATGGTACACTTGGATAATAACTCACAGAACTGAAAAATAAATGTGACTAGCATTAGTGACTGTGTACTGAGAGTGGTGATGTCATTACTGCATGATACATCAGCCATGGTAAAGCTCAGCAGGTTGGGTCTAGTCAGAACCTGGAAGACAGAGTCATTGGGCATCCCATGTAGTTTGTCTCAAGTTCTTCAGTGGAAGAATAGTTTGACTGAAATTTATTAAGTAAATAAGAATTAATTGATCAAGTACATACTTGTTACATCTGATAAGAAAACTAATTGCTCAGAATATAAATTGTTTTTAATAACTGGTATCTCTACTTAAAACATTTCTGGGGAGAAATGATAGTGGTGGTCAAATAAATACATGCTCCTATGAACAAATTTTAATATGCAACATGATATGGTCATCCATTTTTGTCTAAGTAAATCCTGCTTTAGTCCATTTTTGTCTAAGTAAATTTTCCAGTGGCCTTTATGCCATTGATCATAACTATGCTGGAACCATCAGGATTTTTTAAAAAGTGAAGATAGAATGTCACTGAGATTTTTTTTATATCAAGTACATGACTGTGTGATCTGGGGTTCCAGATTGCAGATGGTGCTGGTTCTTGTAACCTCAGAAAGAGAGCAGATGGTTTCCTCTTGAAGTTTGCATAGTAAATCCTGAGTATAAGGGCAACTGTAATGCTTTATTTTCTTGGTATATTAGGTGCAGAGAGAACTGGCTGCTGTTCTTGCTATGAAGGCGAGAAAATCAGGTGAGTATAGTAAGCTTTTTTATTTTGCAGTTTGAGAATGTGTTGAATGACAACTAGTTTAAAACTGGAAAAATTGCTGGAGTGCAACAAAGAATACTTGCTGACATTTTGTTCTTCAAGCAGATGAATAACAGGTTGCTGGTTTCAGCTTACAAATGTGTCGGTCATGTTTTTGAAAAGATGTTTGGCTTCTCTGACTTTAACACTCTCCCTATCTTTCAATTGTACCAGATGGTTTATTTCATTTTTAAAAAGATATTTTCCTAAACATACATTATTAAAATACATGGGGGATACCTCACCAAGATTGCTTGCTATTCCTTTCTGGAGTGTTGCACTGGTGGTTTGGTGTGTTTGGGCATTGGATGCATGTGTGTGGGTGGTGCAGAATACATTAAGGGGTGAGTCTTTAATAACTTTCCTTTCTCTCTCCCCCTTAGGTGCAAGTAGTACTGTTATTTGCATAGAGTGCTTGCAGATATATACAAGAGCAAATTGAACACACAAAAACTTAATTATATATGTTCAGTTTAACAAATACTTGAAAACAGATATACATATGGTAGGATATAAGTAGTTTAGTTTGGATGGTCTGCAGGTACACCTCTTCAGTTACATTTTGGAAATCAGACAGCTGTTGTAGCAGTTTAGTAAACACCAATAAACTACTTGAGCTAGTGTTGGTAAAGAAACTAGAGCATTGGTCCATTTGTTGTTAATAGAATCCTAACTTGGCTTTGTAGCAGTGTTCGACTATGGCATTTTAAACACATTCATTTCATCATCTTGCTAACATAAAGGTAAAATGATAGCAACGTGAGCTATCAAGATAATGAGGTCTTACAGATGCAATATTTTTCAGTATTCTGTTCATCCTGCAGTAAAGCCTCTTTGACCAGATGAAATGGCGTATGCTTCTTTGTTTTTATTAAATTCTGCTGTTTTCATTACTGTACACTTCCTGTAGAAATAATAAATGTAAAGTGATTGCTGGGTCAATCATGACTATAAATTTTAGATTAGATTAAGGTTTTAATCATTTTAAAGAGAGTGAATTAGGTTGGCTGATTACTGTAGCTGGCAGGAAGCAGTACAACAGCAGTAAAGTTTATCAATGCAGACTGTATAATGGGAACTAGTATAATAGGGTTCAGAATCTTGCTTTGATAGAGGGTTTTTAATAGGGCAGGATTTAGATATTAATGTATGTGATGTTCTTCCCCTAGTGCACTGCAGTTGCTGTTTAGGGACAAATGATTGTATGTTGTTGCATTCAGACTGATAAACTGTGATTTGTGCTTGCCTCCCAAACTGTGATTTGTGCTTGCCTCTCAAACTGGAGCTGCCCACCGTGATTTTCCATTTTAGTTTGGAGAGTAAGCACAAGCCATAGCATATAGGTTATACTGTAATGTTAACCTGTGGCTTGCGTCTAAACAGGAAGTAAGGGAGGCAATCACAGTTCATGAGAGCAGAGAGGAAGGAGGGGCCAAGTGAACTCACTCATGTAGAGATGTAAAATTTCTAGAAATCTTCAAATCACTGGGAGGGGGAAGTAGTTAATCATATACTTGAAAATATATACCTCTATTTTCCTATGTATATGCAGGAATTATTTTGATGTATTTTGTATATTGTATAATATGAACACTTCATACTATGTATACACTCCGTGGACCGTGGTTTGGCATTCAATGTAAGCCAACTCAAAGACAGATTACTTTGGAAACAGTTTTGAAGACCATAAGGAA